AACGTGGCGTAGAGGTAACTTCTGCTTCCTGTGCGGCTCCTTTGGATTTGGATTTCCTTTGGAAATGATTATCGCTGTTTCTGCTGTGTGAGTTTTAAGGTGCGTGTTGGTCCATGACAAAGCCATCTTTCCAAGACATCCTAACAAAACAGTTTTGCGTCGCACCGAGGAACCATCTCCAAACCTCTACAAGTCTTTCACCACGCATATCTTAGCATGGCATGGTTCACACACCTAACAGCATCACATCTGGCTTATGCTGAATATAAAGTAAGAAGTGACTTAGTGACTCCGTGCTTGAAAGTGCCATCAACTCACCTACATTGCTTAAAGAAATGCGTCTTACACATTGCCATGGAAATCATGGAATCACAGAATCATTAAGGTTGGAGAAGCCCTCTCAGATTCCCAAATCCAATCCCAACCCACCCCACCATTCCCACTGACTGTGTTCACGAGTGCCACATCCCCATGGTTCTGGGACACCTCCAGGGATGTTGACTCCACCACCTCCCTGGGCAGCTGTGCTAATGCTTTACCACTCATTTGGAGAAGAAATTTTTCCTAATATCCAACCTGAACCTCCCCTGGGGCAATATAACCTTACATCTGATCTTATATTGCTAATACTCATCTTGAAAAGAGACCTCTTCTGCAGCTATGGTCATCCTTCCTTCAGAGGGCAAGCAGATCAGCTCCCTGACAGAAGAAGGCAGGGTGAATGCTATCAAGATGTGATTCTCCCAGGGCCTCCAAGGGGTCAGGACCTGATAAGGGATCTCTCCTCTTTGAGAGCATCAGATTAAATCTGACCTACAGGCAGAAGGTGATCCTATCTAATTGCTTCTAAAAAAGCAAGAATTGGTCCTCAGCTATTCATTTCCCCACCAATTTTGTGTTAATTTGCAGCCTTTCTGACATTTTTGGAAAAGCCTGAGCAAAAACTGAGCAAGCTTTAAACTTAGCATTATTTATGAGCAAATCCCACGAAAAGCAAACTGGGGGAATTTAGTGAGAATAAGCTTTTTTGATTAAAAAAAAAAGAGGAGACATGGGAATGCTGTCAGTTAATAATGAAAAATAAGGGAATTAACACCACATTTGTAACAGTGAGGCCAAGGAACCAGTGGTCAAAGGATGTAGTAAATCCTACACAATTTGACACCTTTGCATCAAGCCTGGATATCTTCCTAAAGGCCATACAGTACCTTAGCCAAGGGTTGTAAGGCCAAACACTAGAGATGTGGGATAGAGCATCGATGTCCCACTGGCCTGAGCACTGATTGTGTGGTGTACCATTGATACTGACAATCTCTGGAACCAGTGAGCTGGATGTGCCATGGAAGTGCCATGCCCAATCTGCCTCCATTCGAAGGACCCCTGTCTGGCTCTGCTGAAAGGATCTGCCTCTCTTCAATTAAGCAGTGTTTTTTCCAGCTGCTATTGTCTCATCATTTACAAGGAAAACTTTCATAGACTTTTTCTAGTTCGTATTATTTTCCCATGGCAAGAAATATTTTGAAAAGAAAAAATATCAAAGCAATGCCCGTTTTTTTTGTTTTAAGGAAAAGCTTCAATAGGGTTTTTTTCCCCCTAAGCCTTGGTAGCCATTCTTGCTTTAATTTGAGCAAGGCTTATAGCAGTCAAAGTTATACTTGTGTTTACTTGACTTGAGGTAGACAGGACTAATCCTGCTTAAAACTGAACTAAGAATATCTACACAGTTTAATGAAATGGATTAAAGTTTAACTCATATTAAACATTAATAATCTGTCTTGTTCAGACAAGCCCTGGGAGGCTGGAGCAACATAATTCATTTGCCTTCATTGAAATTTCCTTGAAAAGAAGCAAATTAGGCACTTGTGTAGCGAGCAGGGTCCTTTGATATAATGGTGTGCTCACAAGAGATCTGGCTCCCTTCCTCTGTCAGATGAAAAGAGTTTCTTTTCTTAGATTTTATTTTATTTCTGAGTGCCTTATTAAAACAGCACAGTTCTTCCTGTTCCATTTGTGAGGTTTCTTTAGGGAACAGCTCAGCCTAGCACGAATTAAACGCTCCTTCAATTAATTTATATCTCTGAATGGCCTCAGCTGGCACGCGCTCATGCCACACACCTGGAGATGGAGATGTCAAAGTTTGGGTGGAAAGCCAAGATGGTCACACCGGTTCCTGCAGAAAGCAATGGCTTTGTAAGGGAAGTCACATTGTTTCAAGGTATACTGTGGCTTTAGTTGCTTTAAAGACTGTGTGAGCAGGCTGAATTCCGACCAGTTCCTATTTGTTCCATCCATTTGTGTGTATGTGCATTTAGGGATGTGGTTAATGGGCATGGTGGTGATGGGTTGATGTTCAGACTGAGTGTTCTTAGAGGTCTTTTCCAACCTTAACGATTCGGTGATTCTCTATATGTTGGCGTTTCCGTGCTTCTCCTCAAATTTCTGCTGACGCTTGGGAACACCAAAAGGTGTTTTTCTTCCACAACAACCCATTGTTCTGCTGGTTGCGAACCCTCAGCATACAACGAGATCAAACCCTGCAGAATTCATGCCTTTGCTACCACCTGGCAGCCTCCCACTTCACGTGCACCAAAACAGCGCCGAGAGTCACTTGGTGAGCGATGGAAAAACATCAACAAGAGATGGTTCTATTCTGGGGAAAGCACAGAAATGAAAGGTTCAGCACGGCCCCGCCACTATATATTAAAAGCAGTGCTGCCTGTGAGCTACTGCTGCGGTTGCAGTCGGCGGCTCTTGAGCAGGGCTGGAACCGGCAGAACGGGACTTTCGAAGGAACCCAAAGGACTCCGGGAGATTTTCCTCCTGACTTCGCTCCCTTCTAGCTACAGATAGGACTGGGCAGGTCTCTGTCACAACCAGTCTGATCAGTGCTACCCAAACACAGCATAGGTGTAGTCTGTGCCCCGAGGAAATCAGAACTTCAGACAAGCTCATGCAGGCACTCCCACGCCGGCTGGTGCCAGTGGGGGTGGCGTGAAGGTGATAGTTGAAAGTCATTGGGTTTTGTGGTTGGTTTGTGTGTGTGTGTGTGTGTGTGTTTTCTTTTCCCTGGCTGAATCAACAGGGAGTTGTTTTCGACCTTCTGCTTCCTTCAGTGAAGGTGGAAGCTTGTCTTCAGGCTTGGTGAGAAGAAAGGTTGGGCATCGGGCTGTGCCAGGAGCATCACCTGGCAGCCTGGGAATGAGCACATGGAGGCTTGGAGGAGCCAAGCAGCAGCACGGGTCCATGAGAAGGTGCCCAGATCCATCAGGAGGTGACCAGGTTCGTGAGGAAGTGACCAGAGCTATGTGGAGGTGCCCAGCTCCTGTTTACAGGAGTGGTTCACTTCATGCGTAAAACTTCATCTAGGCTCTAGAGGTGAGGCTGAACCCCAGTGAGGCTGCAGGAGCTCAGCCCAGCTTGTCTTCCAGCTGCAAACAGCTGGATGAAGCCTTCAGACACCCGGACCAAGGCAGGCTTGGAGCAGAGCTGCAGGTCTCTGCTTGCAGCATGGATCTAGTCCCTCCCCCTCCTTATTGAAAAACCTCCTAACCGAAAATCATCGAGCAGAAGTTCAACAGCTTCAACAGCTGCAGGCTGCCAAACATTCTTGCTGAGTGAGGCTGTTTGGGCACACCGAAAGATGGCTGAACCTGGGGCTTGCGTAAACCTTTCTTACCTGGAACAAAAGATCTGCTTCCATGGCAGTCAGGTGCACGCATGAATGGAGTGAAAACATGCCCAACCGGTCCCTGTGCAAAAAAAGACAGGTTTGACTGGAAGGGCTGCTTGTGCAGAAAGGGCCTGCCAGCATCAAAGGCAGATGTGCTGGGTGCTGCACAGCACGATTTGTATCTGCCCGAGCAGAGCCCAGTTTTACAGCACTGAAGGCCACAACTGGCAGCCAGCCTCAGGCTCCAGCAACGCACCTGGTTTGCATAAACGCGTCTGAGTCCATCCATCCATCCATCCAGCTCCCCAGGAGAGCTGCAGCACCAAAACCCCAGTGCTGCCCGTGTCAGCCAGCTGCAGCCCTGTGGCTGCTCACTGCCCGTGTTAAGGATCCAACCCTGCAAGGTGCACGCACGGATGCTCAGGGCTTGCCTGCAGAAGTGGTTGCTTTCAGATCCTATTGCTGATACGACTTGGTTTTGTTTTCCATTTCACCCATTTCTCTTTCACTTCCTTCCTGCCTTGCAGGAAGCGATGGCAATAAATATGCTCCATCACCTGTGCTCCTCCTGATCAGAGGTGGCAGCTCCTGGAGCCAAAGCCCTGAACAGTCCACGGAGAGGAAAGGCTGAGGTGGATGGGACATGGGGGAGAAACGACGTGTAAACCCCCAGCATCTGAACACCTCCCATGCTGCTCAGTGCTCCTCTCAGCCCTCCTGTCCCCAATCCACCTATACACCCATTTTCATACACTCATCACCACCAAAGCTCCTACTTTACATTTAGGACAGGTGGAGATTTACTGACTTTTTCCACATGTAATAAAATAGTACTACTAATTACGATAATAACAGCAAGTGTAGCTGCGCTCTGCCTGCTTAATTTCCACCTGCTATTTATTTTCAGTTTGATGTGGTATTTGCTTCCTGTCATGCATTCTTGCAAATCATTTCAGTGCCGCCTTATCTTGCCTGTGTGGTTCACCCAAGGAGTGGCCGAAACGTGGCTCTGACCAAGGGTGTCACCAAGGAGGAGTTCCTGTTCTTCTCATCTCCTGTAGGAGGGGAAAAAATTGAAATTTCTCTTTTCCCCTTCCGCCTACATCTTCACAACCCATTGAGCTGCAAGGATCTTTGTCCAGCTGCAAAGCATCTGTTCTTCATGGATGTACACAGCTGTACACCCTACAAGGATGCTCAGATCAGGTTAAGGGGCTCCGGGCTTTTTGCTCTTAGATAATAATATTTCTTTAAAGCTTGAAATACTGGTAAAGAGATGCAATCAATAAAAAGAGACGTGCTCAAAGCCTTCAGCATCACCACAAGCAGCTCAATGCAAACCAACGACTGCATCCATCACATCCTTCCCAGCCAGGAGCTGGTGGGTCCTTCTCACATCCATCTACAGTGGCATTGGATCCCTTGCATCCAACTGGCCCCATGTACTGAGTCCCAAAGAGTGACCCCCATTTTCCCAGCAGAGCCCATAGGGGCTCAAACCCAAAAGCAGGATGCAAGGCACACTGGGCTATTTAGTTGTGTTATGAGCTTTTATTTAAAAAGCACATTTATACAGCAATAATTTCGCAGATACAAACTTTCATTTTGTATTCTACAAAAGTCTTTGAATATTCTTCTCTTTACAAAATGGAACATTACAAAAATACAGACAATTTAATGATTTTTTTTATACAAATGTCTCTAATTGTAGTTATTTTCATTAAAATATTACTACCACAGAACTACAATATTTTAGTCGACTATAAAAAAATTAATTCAATGCTTCTTTAAGCAGCAAAATGTAAATAACACAGGTCAGGACACAGTTTATAGTCATAGTGGATATATCTAAAATTGTTTCAGAAATAATATTTTACATAGTTAATTTTTAAGGTTTTATACATTATTTATATAATATTTATATATAAAAAAATCATAGCTTGCTGTAGTTGAAATGATAGGACGGATTCTGTAAGAAGGATGTGCAAATGGCCATTCTGCATGCTTTGTGTGATCCCTTTGCAAACGCGTTCTGTGAAAGATCTGCAAGCCAAAAACTTGTGGTTTCTGGGAAAAAAAAAATAAAAATCCTACAAATCACACTGGGTAGAGGCACAGCTGGCTTCCCACTGGTGTCACCAAGCAGAGCACCAGGATGCCAATGGGAGAAATAGGGGGGAGGGAGGGATGTACAAACAGACTGACACCCAGGCTGGGACGTGCCGCCCAGCAGCCCGTCCCAAAAGGGCAGAATTCAAGGTTCCCCAGGACTCAGCCCTGAGGTCGAAGTGCGAACAGGTCTCCAGCCAAGCCGCCGCTACCCAAACTGTGAGCGTGCAGAACGCCTGCTGCCATTCAGAGGGGGGGAGGACCGGGAAGCAGAGGATGCTCTTTTCCATTTAAGGGCCATTTGCAGCTGCTGCGCACGCCCGGTTGGCTCAGGATGAAGCCTCGCCAGGAAGCGAGAGGGAAGGAAGAAATGTGGGTTTGTGATCCGAGGGTACATTTGTTCAGCCTCGCCGTGCATCTCAGGACTGTTTGTGAAAGGTGTGTGGTTTGAACAGAGACCCTCCAGAGATCCTTGGCTGGGCAAGCTCCTTCTATGCTAAGTCACAGTATGGAAAACAGGAGGCAGAAACAAACTAGCATCCAAAATAAGAAAAAAATAGCAACTCTTACAAACCAATCCCAGATCTTGACTCAGTGCTGTTGCTCGTATTTAGTGCCATATAATTTGCGAGTTGTTTTTTTTTTTTTCCTTGCCTGCATTAGAAATCTTCATCGTCAAAAATAATAATTAAAAAAACCCCCAAGATGGCCAGCTTTCCAAAATCCCTTAATGTTCTTTATGCTATGAACAATTTGGCGTTCACTACAACATGAACACTCAAACCAATTGCACATCCAGAACTCCGGCACCTCTTTGCTTGCTCGGCTTTTTGCTGGGTGTTTGTTTCTCACTGTTGCTTTTAGTTGATCATCACCACTCCTTTCCTCCATATGTCGCGAGTTGAAAAAAGACCACAGAGTAAGACTTTACTGGTCGGGCAAGAAAGTCTCTCCCTACATTCTACTGTCTGATGAGATTTGAGAGCAGCAGGTAGTTGCTGTCAGCAGTCATTTTTGCAAAAAATAAAAAATAAAAAATAAAATACAACACCAATCCGATCGCTCAAAGGCCTACACCATGTTGTGATGGTTATTGCGTTCGATGATGTCCACAGGTGAGAGGATCTCCTTCCGGATGGGGGGTGGTGGCAGGCAGGTCTTGGGCTTGGGCTTGAAGAGGTCAGAGACATAAAACACCTGTGGGAACAAGAGGGAAGGTAAGCTTAGCCCCACTGGGTGATGCTTCATTCAACAGAACACGGTTATTTCGGTTCAAACACCTGTCGTGCTATTGAATTCCTACAGATAACCCCTGATCTCAAGTGCCTGCTACCACCTTTCCTTACAAGATGGAAAAAAGTTCAGACAGCGTAAAAATATGATGAGCCATAGAATGGCTTGGGTTGGAAAGGAGCCCAACGATCATCAAGGTCCAACCCCCCTGCCGCATGTGGGGCCACCAACCTCCAGGAATGGATGGTTCAAGATGGATGATGGATCCATTTCATTTATCGAATCGGCGAGAGCAATACCCCAACCTCTGTGAACGGGGTGAAAAGCCAGGAAACAGATACACAGCTCACACTCACAAAAAACAAAGGTCTCCAGCCAGCCTGACTCACACTGCTGTTTTAGGGTTGAGGTAAGTGTGAAACAACGCATTCAGGCAGACATCAGGTAGGCCTGAAAAAGCCTTCAAATCCAAGCCATGCTAAAAGCTACGTGCAACAAACCCATGGCGAGCAACGCTCTCCTCTTGTCCCTTTCCCCACCCCACAGGGAAGAGAGGAGGAGCCGTTCCCAACAACTATTTCCTAAATATCCCATGATGTCAGCCTTCTCCCGGATGAAAAAGCCAGCACTTGGCAATTTTGGGAGGCAGCAACACAATAAGAAACAAAGTGCTGGGAGGAAACTTCCACATCCTCCTTTGGCAGCCGCTGCACAAAGCTTATCAGCACCGTAGCACTGGGGCACTTTCTCCCGTGCCAAACCCCAGCCCCACACCAGGAGGAAAAGGAGTCAGACGGTGCAGATGCTCCAGAGGTGATGAAAGGCAATGATGGCTTTTCTTTTTGTTAGTTGGTACCAAATCTCCAAACTTAGGTCATGCTTCTGCCAAATTTGCTGGCTTCATCCGTCGGGCATTGACAAGCACCGGTAATTCAGAGCAAGGTGTGAGCAAGCAGAGCCAAAGCCCTGGGAAGAGTAACACATAGCGCTGGGAAGCCATAGGAATTAACAGCATATTTGACTTTTCTCCCACAGATCTCACATGCAACTTCCAAACAATTAGGGGAAAAAAACCATGTTACTCAAACAAATGATATCTGATTGATGCCTCTGGGTTGGTAATACGGGGAAGAAACTAAGGTGTCCCTCTGCCTCTCCACGTTTTCTAGCTACCCACAGCAACTCCAGTTGTCCTTGGAAACAACTTCTGCAAGTCTGTATCAGCACAGGCAGATAAGAAACTGAGCTGAATAGACACCAACTCTGCTATAAATGGCAATTCACTCCTACAGTTGTAACCGTGGGGTCAGGAAGCTTGTTGTTCAGCTTTTATTGCTTCATGGAAACGCACGGAAGGAGCTGACAGGCAAAACAGCTCTTTTCTCAGGGACTTGTTGGTATCTGGCCATATAACAGAGCTGACAAAGTCACTTAGGGGGCATCCAAGTCACAGCGTCTGCACCTCCAGCTCCATCGCAGCATCCAGCGGGACCTGCAGCAGATCACAAGCCTGAATCTGGCCTCTTGCTGCAGCATCTCAGTGTAAAGGCATCCTGAATTGCTCTGGCAATGGTTATCTGCTCAGCTTTAATAAGTGTAAAACCCCTGCTCGGCCGGCTCGGCATGTTTCTGGTGCCAGTTTGTTTGTGTGCCCACCTCAGAGAGCTGGATTCAATCAAAACGATGTCCAATTTCTGCACTGACACGGCCATGACAAATTGATTTGCAGGAGGAGATGGCTCAGTGCAAGAAGCACATGGGGATGGCTGAGTCTGGTCCTTGTTTTGGACAGAAATGAGATATGGAAGAGTGTCGTCCTGCAGATTTCAGCTTTTGCTGTGCTGCTCGCTGCTTTTCAGAGTGCAATTCAGAGACTGGGTAAGGGTTTTCATTTCTTCTTCTTAAACTGCGTTTCACTTCAGCGTGGCTGGAGGTTATACAAATACTTATAGGAATTATGAAATGTGATCTTTTGGGGTTGAAGCAGTGTTAAATCCTCCTGATGTTTGAAATGTTTTACACAAAAAAGGACTAATAAACGTGCAAAGTTTTTCACTTGGATTAGTTCCATTTCCTGTAGAAGGTGCTCTCCACCCATAAAGAAAACTTGACAGCAGAAGACCAAGCGTCTGTTATACCGAGCAATTCAAGATGTTATATTGCCACTTAACATTTCATATTCCTTTTTGGTATACTGAAGAAGTCGTTAATCACAGACAGAGGGGTTAAAACAACCATCCAAGCAAATCAGAGCAATATCAGGAGCACGTCCTTCCAACGCCTGCCCTTTTCTCCCTCCATCAGAAGAGACAAACTACGCGGCACATAGCAGGCTGCCTACAATGCAAGCATAAAAACTATTTCCATTTAAGCAGTCCTCATCATATTTCACCCTGGAACTGAGTCCGAATGTTTCATCAGCTGGAAGTGCTTGACACTAATGTCTTCTGCTTGTTATTTCAGGCACTGGAGGACCAACGCGTCTGCAGCAGCACAACCTGGATTTAAGTTCTGGCAGTCCTCGGAGGTGAAACCCACAATTGGTTTCTAGCAGAAATTATAGCCTGATAACTATGGTGTTTTAACAGCCATCATCAGACGTGCTCCTGAAGGCTTTGCTGTGGGAATGGAAAGAGCAGCAGGTCCCTGCCTCCACTTCAGAGCATCCTCCGCACAATCACACAAACCCAGAGCTGGGGACAAGCACCCCCAGGACACTGCTGTGATCTCCATCCACCCAAGGAGCCTGCAGTGAGGCTTTCCCAAATGCTGTCTCCAAAAAGCACAGAAACAAGCAAGCTGGGAAGGGCAGTGCCAGCAGATCCACATCCATCCATGAAGCTCCCAGGCAGCTGCTTCCGATGCCTCGGCACAGGAAAGCCACCCCAGCCTGCTGTTGCCTCCCCTTCCCAGCACAGCTTCCATCTGTTGGGGGAAAAGGCCAGATCTGCTGCTTGTCCCAGCCAGGAAGCACAAGGATGTCTGCACTTAACATCCGGAGAACTGCTGCCTTCCTGACACCATGATCCGGCCAGCCATTGCCCTATCCTTAAACACCACTGTTATCCCACTTCCCAACAGAGACACACGGAGAGGTGACCACCCCTTGGTAACAAAACCCACTGTTGTCTCTTGATGTCTGCACCTACTGCGTGTCCTGGAGAGGAAAAGATTCCCAGGATGCGTGCAAAAACCCTGGTGATATATCTGTGGAAGATAAAGGAACTGTAATGCTGCTTCTAGCAGGCAGTAAGCAGCATCACATCTCTCTGCTGGGCTCCTGAATGGGATGCTGGCACTAGGCAATGGACAAACCCAACAACCACTGCTCAGCAGGTTAATAATGCTTCAAAAAAAACACTTCCCAGCAATGCTATTTCTTGACTTGGCTTTGGATTGTCACTAATGAGTGGAAAGGACGTGAATAACCTTGTTTTTCTCCTCGCAAAATAAAACTTTAACAAAACTTGCCTCCAGGTTTGCTTTACTTTTACATCAGTTCAAATAATAATAAAAAGCAGAAAGCAGTAGGCTGTTAAAACTTTGGTTTGGGGAGTTGGTACGGAGATGTGAATGATCCCAGCCCCTTTGTTTCTGCACAAGGCAGCAGCCCTGAAAGCAGTTGCCCCCCGGCCCCAAGCATTCCCATCTGTCACTTCCAGTTATGGGGCTTGCAATCAGGGCACTCCTCTGAAAGTAAATTGCATGAGAACAGCCCGGGCTGCCACAGACAAGCAGGAACAGCTTTTGTTAACAGCCTTCAACAACAAAAATCAAACACCCCAACACAAGAGAAGGGAATTACTGTGGCAGGGGGTAGGTGCAGCAGTGCTGGTGACCCCTAGCAGCGTGTCCCCTCCCGTACAATTGCCCCTGCTGGAGCAGGACTTACCACGCAGTAAGCCACCAGGGCTCCCTGTGCAAAGCCTGCCAGCACGTCGGTGGGATGATGCTTGTGATCCGACACACGGGACAAGCCGGTGTAAAATGCCATCATGATAAGTGTGAATTGCAGCAGGGGACGGAGCAGGCGAGCGCCCTTCCACGTGAACCTGGCCTGCAGATAGAACTGTTGGGAAGAGAGGAGAAACAAACAAGGTTGCGTTAATTTGAGGCTTCACCTGCAGCAGGGAGGATGTAGGGCAGCTTGCACTGCTTTAAGACAAGAGGGAGCGATGCTTTTGCTGGGTTCCCTGAAACCACAAATAACTTAACACCACCATTTACCTACTGAAGCAGAATTAAGGGAAAGATGATACAGGGGAAGCACTGCATCAGTGGATTTAGTGCGTTTGGCTGTTGCATAAACATTATATTTACCCCTTGTTTGGAAAGAATACGCACCAGGCTCTTGAGGGGAAATGAAACATCATGTCCTTGGAACAGAGCAGATGCTCCAAATTACCCAGACTGTTGTTAGTCAATTAGCATGGAAGAGAGCAGTACCAAAACAGCTTGGTGCTGGCTAACAGGCATTATAATTCTGGGGAATATTTCTGCAAACCACTCAGAGCCTGGGAACAGGGCCACATCTCCATTGTGAATTCCCTACACCATGCAAACTGGTCCATGCAATGCAGTGGGATGAGCTGTAGCTCTTGGGTCCCCACAGCACTCCATATGTCTGCAGCCTCCTGGGCTGAATATCCCTGCACTGAGCCACTCCTCTGCTTTTTGAAAGTGATTTCGGTGCCTGGGACCAAGATGACTCTTCAATCTCTTTAAAAGTCTCCAAAAAAACCCCCAGCATTTGTTGAGTATTATTTCTAATGATATACAGTATTCCACTATTGCCATTGGTTAGGCTCAGGAATACTTCCAAGTCCAGGATGCAAAACTCAGTTTCCAACATGTTGTAGAGCAAAAGTAGCTCTGAGTATTTTATCTTATCAGCTGTCACCCTTAGTTCTACCAAGTTTGAAACCTAATATCTCCTAATATCACTGTATGATTCTATGGTCTTACTTCAGGCTTTGTCCCATCAAACCCTTTAAGAAAGGGATTTGCTGCTGGATCATCTGACATTTGTCCTTTATGCTCTCAAATCAAACCCCCAAGCTTGGACTAATTAGGTAAGTTATGGTTGAAAAAGCAAAGTATCAATTAAAAATTAGCAATGAGAAGCACTGAATTTGAACACACAAAGTCGGCAGTATTTGGAGGGTGAATTAGTTAAAAAAAAAAAATAGTTCTCTAAAACAAGGGAAAACACCAAACCTGAGTGAGATCTGCGCTTTGGTCAAAATGGTATCAACTAGATTATATTGTGATTTTACATTTTCTTTAGAAACAATCACAGAACTGTCCAGCCTCTGCCCCAGAGCCCTCTGGTTCTGTTACCTCCTGCTCCAGGCATTGGCCAAAGAGGTCAGAAATCAGAGCAAAACATGTGTTTCCACTGCAATGTCCATTCCCCCACTTGCATGCCACTTGCACACCCATCCCCACTGAGCCTCACTGAAACCAGCCCAGGAGTTCAAAAGTTATCAGGATCTGCAGGCTGCCAGGTGGACAGACAGACGCAGATGGTGGGGTCACCCCAGTCCCGTTTGCACTAAAATGGTGCAAGGGTTTGTTTGTGTATTGATTCACTCCTTCCACAATACGACCCTGGCTTGTGCAGCTTGTGCATATGCTTTAAGCATTCATGAAGGTAGAGCAGCACTGTACTGCATGTGCTGGGAGACACCAAAGCTCCCAGTGCTAATTGACACATTTCTCTGAAAATCTGCTTTTTTGACCATCTGGAAACTGAATTCTGTTAGATTTGGATGGGGACAGGGGGCTGGATGGAGCCCTTCCTAGGAGGGGTGCAGGAGCAAGACCACAGCCTGGCTCATCTCGTCAGCTCATTAGGAAGAAGGAGGCAGCAAGAAGCAGGAGCAGCAGCCACAGGAGTAGCCTAAAGAAGGGGTGGATGAAGTGAAGCGAGGTCATGTAGAACCTGAGTTGTTTGGAGCTCCCATCTGCTGCCTGGCTTCTGACAGGGGCTGAGTTACTGCAGAGCAGATGGCTTAAAAGACATCACTTTGCTCTTCTCCTGCCAGGGGACTTCCAAGTCTTGGTGGGGACAACCCACAGCCACACACAGCCCCCGCTGGGAAGGAGTTGGTATGGGACGTAGGCTGAGAACATCATCTCCAGTCTTGTGGGGCTTTCTGCCACCCAGACATCCCATCCTGTTCACACTCTCCCCACCACAAGTCTGAATTCCATCAACCACGTCCCTTAGTCACTCTAAAGCTTCCTTCTGGGAAGTGGCCAGGCTCATTCCTGACCTGCAGTCACCTCCTTCTCCAGCCCCATCTGTACCCAGAGCAATATGGGGCAAAAGCCCTCAAACCTAAACTCACCCCTCTGTAACACCCAGCCTCATCTGGGCAAAGCCAGCAGGAAGAATTGCAGAATCCAGCTTTTAGCACCAGGTGCAAGGACAGGAGGGCCAAGACCTCCCAGCAGCAAATGGAAGGGCTGGTTGCTTCTCCCACCCTATTGAGAACCGCCATCAGTCCAGCAATGCAGGTCACACCTCAGCCCTGGCCTCTGACAGAAATCCACTTCACTCCCTTACTTAGGTCATCGCTAAGCTCGAGTCCAAGTCCACAACCACCTTCACACATTCACATCATCACTCAGCAACACAAGAGCACTGGGCCCTTCTCTGCCCCTCAGCAAAGCCATGGTTGTCCAGACAAAAATCAGCAACACCTGTAATTTGCTTTATAAACCAGCAGACCACAGTGAAACCCACTCTGACCCGAAGGCTTCAGCCTCCCCTACTGACACTCAATTAAAGACACAAGCTACTCTCATTTTCTCCAGAATCAGTCTATACAGAGGGATACAATTTAGTTTTTGTTCATCCTTCCAGTAGTTGGCTGTGATTTCAGGAAAGTTCTTGCTGTAAAACAACCCAGCATGATGATCTCAGGTGTTGGACAGGCGTGTAGAGCCCCAGTAGTCCCCCAAACACAGACACACAAAACCAAGGTGTGGGTCAGGTGTAGAGCTGTGCACGTAGTGAGCTGTTACAGACCTCCTTCCTCAGCCTGCTATAAATGTGAATTACGGGCTCACTCAGCCAAGGAGCAACAAAGCAAGGAAAATTAAGACAAAGAGGATTACCCAAGCAGAATTTCCCCTAATAAGTTTCTATACAAAGGCCTGATGTTAATTTGGAATTCTTGGTGACAAGAAGGCTGCAAGAAACAGCCTTGAATTCTCAGTGTTTATAACCAACTCTCAGAAGCTTTGGCTATGCAACAAGTGTCTTTCCATGGGATTTCTCCCCCCAAAACCTTCCAGGAGTTGGTTTGGACTCACATTTCCCTATTGGGATCCCGTGACCAAACCAAATGCATAGGCTGGCCACAGGGCTCGATGCTAAAATAGGGCTAAAATATTGCCACTGTTCTAGGAAATGGGAACACCATGGTCACCCACTGCCCCACTGCTCCTGCCCAGCCATGAGCATCCTTTGCAGACCTAACACACTCCAGCAATGATGGACTCTGTATTTCTCCCCACAGTGGCATTTCCTAGCATTCTTGAGGTCTCCAGTTAGATCCTACTTGTATCAGCCCTGTATCCCACCAGGGTATCCAATATGCTATCCACCATAAACCTGTTTTGGAGCAGGGGATTAGGCACACCCACACATCACTGATGAGCATATATACACACACAGCACACCTCCAATGAGAATATCTTTCTGCCCATGTACGGACACTGCATTTTGAATGCAGCTTGATTTCAAGTGTGGAGTGATGTAATATCTTTTAATGAACCAACTAAAGCTTTCCGAACCCACAGAGTACGTTAGAGGTGGGATGAAGGACTTAAAAACATCATCAGGCAGAATGAGCTGCAAAAGCAATGCCAGGAAGTGACTTATCCTTGAAAAAATGAAGTATTGTTTAATACAGAACTTGGATGTCGCACTTAGGACACGGCTGAACCTCTGCAGCACGCACTCAGCCCCACAAATGCCTTCAAAGTACCTTTGCCACTACCAGTGCCACAGTTTGCAAAGCTCCCAGCCAGTTCCCACAGCACCATCACCAACCTGCTGCCACACCAAAGCTCTGCCATCTGTAACTGCTAAAAATTCACTTAGCTGGGCAAGACAGCAAGGTTTAGTTTACACTAAAAAAAAAAAAAAAACCAACAAAAAACCCTGGGCTAATATAACTTCTCTCTTTTAATTTATTATCAGCCCCTCCAACATGACAGATTTTCTGTCTGAGCTCCAAAGCTTCTTTTTGCAATGGGATTTTTCTGGTGGTGGTCAAAGAGCCAGAGTGACAGCACAGGGTGCTACCATGCAAGCCACTTCCTCACCCTGATACATACTGCATAATGCTGTCTGTGTCCCAAGTTGCCCTTTTCTCCCTTAATTTTGTGTCCACAAGTTGGGTGTAATTTTTCCCCGAGTTTTTAAGGCACAGCACAACTGAACAGCTGGTCAGTTGGAGCCTGCTACCAACCTAAACCAGTAAAATATAAAAGCAAATTAATCTTAGGTGAAAAAATCCCTCCACAGAGATGGATGATTGGAGCAGATGGGGAGAAGAGCAGAGGCTGCTGGTTGCCGACAGCTCCAGTGCTCCCACATGGGGACAAAGGCAAAGGAGATCAGAGATGGCTTTTTGCTGCAAGGCACAGCCCCCAGAGTCACACAGGGGCACTTTCTAAGCCTGTTGCAAAGTTGAAAGAAAATCAGGCAACAGGCACTGGTGCAAAGCTGCATTAGAAAATGAACCATAAGTTTTTCCATGTTGAATGCATGCTGCGGTTATGGGGTCTCCAGCATCCCAATGTCACCAGTGCCCTCCTCCTGCATTCCCATTTTGCTTGTTCCAAATCTTAGAATATCCCAAGTTGGAAGGGAATACATAAAGATCATCAAGTCCAATTCATGGCTCCACACAGGACCACCGAAAAATCAAACCCTATGTCTGAGTGCATCATTCAGATGCTTCTTGAACTCTGGCAAGCTAAGTGCCATGACCACTTCCCCAGGGAGCCCAAAACTCAACACATTACTCAAGGTGAGGCCACACCAATGCAGTGTAGAGCAGGACAATCACTTCCCTCACCAGCTGATCCAGTTGGCCTTCCTTGCTCCAGGACACACTACTGACTTACGTTCAACTTGCTGTCAACCAAGACCCCCAAATCTCTTTCAGTAGGGCTGCTCCCCAGCATCTCATTTCCCAGTCTGTATGTATAACCAAGGTTGCCTCTTCCCAGGTTCAGAATCTGGCACTTGCTCTTCAATTTCATGAAGTTGGTGATTACCCAGCTCTCCAATTTGTCTAGATTCCTGTGAAAAGCCTCACTACACTTGACAGTATCAACAAAAACTCTTTCAATTTAGGATCATCAGCAAACTTACTCAAAACACCTTCTAGTCCTACAACCAGGGCATTTATGAAAACATTAAAGAGAACAGACCCTAAAACTGAGCCCTGCAGAACGCACTAAAAACTGGCCATCACCCTGATGTAACTCTATTTACTGAAAAGCCAGAATTTGGTTTTAGAAAGGAAAAAAAAGCACCAAAAAAACCAAACTGGTGAAGCAGGGCTGTCTGTATGGTGCCCTTCAGTAAACAGGTCAAATTCCAGCAGCTTTGGCCAAAGCAAACAGGTAGGATCATGGGATGGGGCTGAGTGCTGCTGGGGAAGCCCATGTTTGTCCCCTACTCTGGAAGATCATAGAATCACAAGGTTGGAAAGGACCTACAAGTTCATCTAGTCCAACCATCCTTCCATTGCCTTTGCTACCACAAGCTACTAAACCATATCTGGTTTCAGATGCTGCAGGGCATGATGCTGGGCAACAGGTGAGAGATCAGGCTGGGCTTCCAAGTAGGCCTAAATCTTAAAAAATAATATGTAATATTTAAAATGTATTTGCTACGTATTTGGGGAAATAAACGCCACCAACTAAACGTGGACTGGCAGTACTTGCCATATGTCAGGCTTGAAAGCCAACTTATCTGCCTGCCTGCAGAACACTCTAAATAAATACTACCCCTCCTGAAACAGAGCAAGTGATGATTTCCAAACTCAGCTCGGAAAGTTTTGCAGAGGCAGGGCAGGAGGGCTGAGCCTCCTGCAAAGCATCACCACGTCAGCTCCAGCACTGGGGGATGCTCACCCACACCACCATCCACTGCACTTCGGGGCGTGCAAGTGGAGCTGAGCCTTTGGAGGGGTGCTCAGTGCAAGGAAGAGTTATTTTTGTGCAAGCAGTGATTTTTTTTTTTTGTCAGTGTGGGGGAAAGCTGTGGAGCTGGTTTCTGTTTTATTTTCTGCCTCATCCTCCCCATGCTGGCTTCTGGTAAGGGGAATGCAGTGGGAGCAGCCAGCTTCTCCCACAGCCCATCACCTGGCTGTGCTTCAACCTCATTATTGTAAGTCGTCTGGGAGGAGGAAAGGGACAAAATGTTTCCCAAAAAATCCGAAGTGTTTCAAGAGTGGGGGAAAAAAATGTAGGGGGAACAAAGGAAGAATTTAATACCCTCCCCCCATCCCTTACACTGCCTGGAAAGCTTAGTAATTAAATTAAAGAAACAGCTCCCAGCCCAAGGAGGGCAAATCCAGGGATTAAAAGCCAAGAGGGAGCAATGGTAATTTATCTTTTCAGAAGGGAAAGTAAAGAGATGGGGGGAAGCATTGCTCAGAGATAAATAAGAGTTCATGTTTAATGTTTTTACAAGCACAGCACAGTTTCTTTGCTTGCCAATCTGAGCTTAAAGGAGATGGAGGGTACAGACCTCGAATGGAATCTGAAGACTTTCTACTTACTATTATTTATAAGCACAAATCACTACCCAAATCATTCCCCAGCCCCAAAACCTTCATGCAGGGTCTTTGGTGGAGACTGGGGAGCGGTACAGGGAGCAGCTCTGCCAGGAAGCAGCTCCAGCCCCACACAGGAAGGGCAGAAGTTATTTGTCACCAACAAGGGGAAACATGGCCCAGCCCTCTGTTCTGGATCCAGCCAGGCAGGCTGCTTCACCTGCTCTGCCCCCCCCTTCACGCTTAAGAGTTGCATCAGTGCATCCACCCCCACGACCAGTGCAATATTTCAATACCCTCCATTGGAAATCAGAGTTAGGGGTGAACAAAATAGCTCAAGTCATCCACAGGGTTTATAGGACTCAGATTTAGTTGCAGACTTGTCTGCATTCGAAAGGTGCACAGCCCAACTATACACTGGGAGTCTCCATCCCAAATAACACCACGGGGTCCAAGAGTGGGATTTTTTGCCACCACTGGCACATTTAGACTCTTAGAATCTTCAGATTCCCCAATCTTCATCATGTCACTACTGATGCTGAATGTGGGTGAACACCTTGGGGTGGAGAATGGGGTTGAATCAACTGAGGTCACTTACCACCAAATACAGCATGGTGTAGAGGGAGAAGGATGCGTGCCCAGAGAAAAAGGATTTCCTGCAAAACAAAGCAGGTGCTAAGAACCAATCACCACAGCATTCTTATATGACACTGTAACTTCATGTACGATATGGTAACCTGCCCACCACCACCACCAGGCTGCCAAAGTAGAGGGAATCACAACCCCCATTTTTGGAGTTATTAAAACCCTGTTATCCGCCCTGCTCGCCCCTCAGGCTGAAAATGAATGGACAGACAGGATGCATGCATTGTTTGTCTCTTCCTGGTCTATTCGTGGGACAGCACAGTTATTTCCAGGACAGCACGATAACTCATCGTCTCGCCTCGAATAGCCAGGAAACTGTAAATAAATGAAAAGCAAGCACTTCCCCAGTTGCTTAATTACAGCACACCCCTAAAAAACGTCAAAAACGGACGTGTGATGGGTTTGATGAAGAGTGTGAAAGGGAGATGCTGGTAGCCTCTCCTGCTGGGAAGAAAAGCTGTCCCTGCTGAACCACAGGCTGGATTGCTTACATCCACTCAGCTCTGATGGTAAATTCCCACATTGAGTAACCTCTCATGAAACAATGGTGTAGGAGTAAAGAAAAAGGAAAAGGAATATTATTCAGCTGAACCCTGTGACTCCCAAGGGAAACTGCCCGTTGCTGGCAGATGGAATTACAGCCCAAACCTCCTACTGCTGGCAGAAAAACCCTGCCAGAAAAATACTTAGCATGAGGCATAACACTGGCATGGGCAACAAGACAAGAGCTCTCACCTGGCTTCCTGGACCTTGCTGTCACTTCCCCTGCAGGTGTAGTTCTGGATGTAAACCCCCTTTGAGCAATTGATGGTGGAGAAATCCAGGTCGCAAACCTCAAGGAAATGTGGCCGCAAGCGCCCAACGGACACTTTGGCAATGTCTGTGAAGGACTGGCTGATGGCACAGCCAAAAACAAAGCAGCCTACTTGCTTGTAGAGAGCTGCCACGTAAGGGTTCTGGATAAAGGAGCGTGACTTCTCCTTCAGGTAGTGGATGCGGTAGAGCTCGCCTGTGATGATCTGTAGGGGACAAGGAACAGAGAGAGGCTGTGGTTACAGAACAGGAAAGATGCTTTCCAAAACTGACTGAAACAGCAAGATGAAGACGTGCCAGATTGCAAACCAAACCAGGAGAGACAAATTAATTCTTACAACAGGCTGGTGAATGATTTGTGACTTACAGCCAGAGCTGCGTCTGGCAAAGGCGGCAGATCTGAACAGTGCATATTTATCTGTAGATCCCTTCCTGACAGCCAGCGATGGTCTCAGCTGGTGGGACTGCACTGTCCAAGCAACACCTTGCCTGCATCCTTGCTGCTTACACAGATGAAGTGTAGCTCAGGCAACCTAGAGAATAATTTGGCTCTGCGATGCTCTGAGATCACTGCTTTCTCTTCCTCAAGCTCACACCTCGCCCAGCCCACAACTGACACCTCCAAGCATCTCCAACCAATGATTTGTTTTCACAGCGAACAAAGCATAGCTCAGAGCCCCTCCTGGTGCCCTTCATCTTCCCCTTTTTACTGCCCCCCAGGAAAAGATTGTAAACTGCCCTCCACAAAGTTTTGTTTATGAAGAAATTCCAAGAAAAAAAGACAAATTTAGGCTTAGTGCATTGGTGTCTCTTTACATAAGTGAAATTGTGCCCCAGATCTAGAAATTTTTATTTCTATGACTGTTAACATAAAACAGATAAATAATCAGTGATTGTGTGTGTGAAGGAGAAGCCACATTCACTGCTCCTTTACCTAAGTGTTGGTGGGGTGGGGAATGACTTCCAAACCCATCTTTCTGAAATCCATGAATATTAAAGGTAAGACTCAGAAAACACTGCGCTTTCTAGAATCTGGACCCAGATTTGCTGCCAGCAGACTCCATTTCAACCACGCAAAGCCTTCATAAACACCAGCTATCACTGGGGATTTCAAGAGGTTCTGCAGTTGCATGGCAGCAAACGACGCACTTGCAGTGCCACCAAAGGCTTTGACAATATGGCCATAAATCAATGTCACGGAGCAGAGCGTCAGCTTCTCACAATCCCAAACCCTTAAAGACAGCTTAATGAAAACCAGGTGGTGAAACCAAGTCCAAAACTTCTTACCTCTCCCAAAGAGGCTTAAATTGTTCTCCGCCACGTTACACATCTAGCTTTTGAGCTCCAGATTTACAGCTTTAGGATTTCATTCATTACTTTAAATGTTTTTATACCTGACCAATAAAGCAAGGCAGGCTTTGGGGCTGTCATTTTTGTGTGTGTGTGTGTGTTTTTATTTTTTTGGCTGCCCCCTCGTCTCTGCCCCTCTCTGCTCTGGTCACAAGGACTGCGATACGTCGATTCAACCATCAGGAAAAATGCCTTCATGTTAATCCCTTTCTGGAGCAGGCAGCAATATTCCTGCTGGCGTGGCAGCCTGCCAGCAGTGTGCAGGAGACAAGGCTCCCCTGCTTACCTTTTAAAAAGCTTGGCACAATGTTTGGAAACTAATAAACTGGAAAAGTATGGCAATTAGACCAAGAGGAGATGAAGCTGTATCATTGTTTAAACTCACCCAATCCGTGGCTTGAAAAAAAAAAAAACAAAAGGTTGACCTAAGACATCTGAAATCACAGCTAAGCAGGCTTTATCAAGAAGAGATACAAGGATAATAATAAAAAATAAAGACCAAGCCAGAGCTTTCAGCAGCCAGGCACAAAAATACATCAGGCAGCTGTGCCATCATCCTGGGCTTACCTGTAAAAGCCAACATCTACTCTTGGAAGCCTGGTCATGACTAAGTGTTGCCTGGAGAACTGTAGCTAACCAGCTCCAGCGTCATTTTAATCCTCAAGGACCCCAAACCATCATTTTCACAGTCTTCATCTCCATTCTACCTTCAAGTCCAAGCTGGGAAACAGGAAATCTCCATGCATGAGAACCACAGAAAAACACTGGAATGTCTAATTCTCTTCTACAAGAGGCAACGTTGGAGCATCCCAGATGGATGAACATTATTGACACTGTTGGACCCAAGGCCATTTGGAGACTATTGCTCTCGCCTGGTGCATCTCCCTGGGCTCACAGCCATGCTAGTGCCAAAACCTCACGGGCACATGGTCTCTGCCTCTACTGCACCACAGCTGCTGTCCACAGCCTCCTAAAAGCCTAAATACGCAAAGAAGATTGCAACGAGGCTTAAAACTCCCAGATTTTGCAGAGGGGAGACAAGCTGACTGCAGGGTGACATCTGAGCCTGGCAGATGTGCCACTGCTCCCACTCACAAAACAGATCCATGTAAAGCCCACATGGCCTCGGAAAGGCATTTTAAGCAGGGACCAACAAAAGTCTGGGGTTTAATACTTTTCTCTCACCTTTGGTGGTCTTGGTAATTGCATACTCATAGCAGATGGTAAATTGTGTGGCCTTTTCCACGTTTTCAGTTTTTCTGTCCATTTTACCATTATCACAATTTATGAGCAGCAGCCCAATTAGCCTGTAATTACTTATAGAGCCTTTCTAATCCCTTAGATCTTTGCAGTATCGTTCTTCTCCCTGTCTTAATCGCATCGAAGCCTTCAACTGTGAAAAAGTCAGCTGATCTGGATGAATGTCCTGGGAGATCTGAGTTACACATTTTCTATGGTATTTTCCCATAGGCACTCACAACCTGGCAGGTGTGGGGCTGGGGCTGCACAGCAGCAGCGAGGAGGAAAATGGTATTTTCCATCCTAATGACCATCAACCCACTTTTATTTTTCTCGTTAAAGATGATCAAATTAACCATTCTCCAGCAGGAAGATATCAAAACAAGAGGAATGGGATGGCTGGCACTTCTGCTGGCCATCACAGGTAGGAACATCAGTGCTCCATGAGAACCCAAGGTCAACACAGCCAGGCTATTCTGGGAAACAGTAATGGGACTTGATTATTTTGCATGGTCCCTTCTAACTGAACTATTCTATTCACCACTCAAAGCAGTGAGGCTGAGATGGGTTATTACCAAAGCAGGTACCACAGCATGCTAAAACATCCATCAGCCATGCAACTGCAGAACCTCATCTTCAGATCATCCAGAGAATCATTAAAATCAATAAGCATTAAAACTAGATCCATATCCTCTTGCACCCTAATGGCAGCAAAGGTCTTCACCTCTGCATTTACTTCATAAGTTGCCCAAGTGTCCTCAAGCCATTTAGAACATGACCTGGACCTTACTCAGGGTTAGGCTGTCCATCACACCACATAAAAGAAAAGATGTGAAATTCTGGCATTGCCACCCCAAAATGCCATCCTCCCGGCCACTGTCCTCACTTTTCAAGGCAAAAAGTTTTGAGGGAAAAAAAAAAAAGGAGCAGAGTCAGTGCTTTGTGGATTTGGAAGGAATTCCTATTATGCTACAATAATTCTGGTATCTGGGTTACATCTGAAAAAGAGGTCAGACTGACTTGAATTTTCCATGCGTGCTGCCACAGCACTGAAGTCTGTTTCTTCGATTCCTCGTTAGGCTTTTGTTTCACTCACCAGCAAATAACGGAGCTTTTAAATTTACCTTATTAAGTTACATTTGTTGTGGGCACAGCGAAACCAGTGCAGAAACATCTAATTCTTCAGGGATTTTCTTTTTCTTTTAATTGACCTGCTATTTCGTGGCAGAAAGCTGATGGATCACATAGGCAGCTGATTATGTTTCCAGTTTCTGTTCCAACTCCTGTATTTGCCACTGCCTCATTACTGATCTGAAGCACACTCTGCATGCAGCCAGCATGACGATGGCTCGGGCAGTAATGTGAAAATGAAAGGCTTTCTCATTTCATTTTTATGGCTTTTCCACACTTGGGGGTAATTCACCTGCAGGGTAAAACCCTGCTGTATTTATGGAATCGGGGAGCTGTCACCTTTTGGGGGTTGTTTTGAGGAGGAGGGGATGAGAAGGAGGCAGTTTTGGGGACTTTGTGTTGCTAAATGAATCTATTTGGTCAGGGAATGATGGAGATGTGGGCACAAGTTGGCAGATGTGCAGCACATCCCTTCACTGCCTGCAAACAAGCCTACAGCCCACTGATATCAAAACAAGAGGAATGGGATGGCTGGCACTTCTGCTGGCCATCACGGATAGGAACACCAGTGCTCCATGAGAACCCAAGGTCAACACAGCCAGGCTATTCTGGGAAACATTAATGGGACTTGATTATTTTGCATGGTCCCTTCTAACTGAACTATTCTATTCACCACTCAAAGCAGTGAGGCTGAGATGGGTTATTACCAAAGCAGGTACCACAGCATGCTAAAACATCCATCAGCCATGACATTGCTCCTGCAAGAAAGGATGAAAGTCAGGGGGGAAGGGGGGAATAAGTGCATCTGACTTCTCCCTCTCCAGCTCTCCCAGATGAAGGAGTGAGAAGGCAGCAGCATCTCTGGGAAAGCACCTGAGCTGTGCTGGCAAGCAAGGAAAACGTAGGTACTTTTCATGAAGTAACACTGGGGAATTTCATCTGCAGATGGAAGCGTTTGACTGCAAGCCAGGAGACAGGTCCTGCCTGAGCACGAGACATGTGCTGGTGGAAGGAGGCTCAGCTCCATAGGCTGAATTCAGTTTCTTGGCTGAAATAATAAAGCTCTCACTGGGCAATCATCTCCTAGCACAGCTCTAGGAAAGCTGGCAAGAGGAAAAAGAAGGGAGAAGACATTGGGAAGGTGGCATATTCACTACTTTTTACAGTGAGGGTTCTGGGAATATGCTGCCTGCACTAGGCTTTAATTGTCTTTTTAATATGCCAGTGTTATACAATCTCTTTAAATCTAATACTAACCTGTGAAACTTTTCCAGGTACTGGTTAGCTGAAAAGACACATCTTTCTGTTATTATTTTTTATCCTCATAAAATAGGCAAATATCAAGAGTTATTTGAATAGGAACAAACCATGCCAAGTCCTCACTGATTCTTCTTGCATCTACTCTGAACTCCTACCGCAGGGTGAAAAAGCTCTTGCAGGGCTCCCAGACTTGCCCAAACAGCTTTGAGCCTGTTTACCAGTTTCAAGAGTAATCTCATTCCTCTCATTACAAGCTTTCATTTGCAAATGTTTACTGCTTACATGGAAGTCAGATAATCACCAAGGAGATTCACACCACAATGCATAGCATGGATACATCTACAAAACCCCAAATGTGCTGGTGGGGAGCAGACTGCATCCTTTTGCTCTGCTTTCCATGAAATTCAGAAACTTTGACTTTTAAGATGATCTCCACAACATACAGGCTTTTTAGCATCTTTCCTTTGACGAGCTCACAGCTCTACTGAATTTGAGCTTGGAAAGCTCCCATAACCACCCCAACTCGACAGTGTCTCTCTGATTCAGCATTCCAGGCAAACCAGCGTTGGTGCCATCGGCTAAGGTGTAACAGAAAGGTGTTAGAGATGCCCAAGGGGCAGATGAAGAGATTTTAGAGATGGTACTTACAGCAAGGATGGCAATGAGGATGCCTGCAGCACACAGCACTGCGTCATTGATTGTCTCCATTGACTTCAGTGGGTACCTGATGCTGTCATCGTCGCAGTAGAAGCCCCGCTGATAGGGCTGGATTGTGCTTGTTTCAATGATGAGGAAGGGCAGCCCAGCTAGAAAGAAGAGGAGACAAAAAAACAAAACCATCAGTGATGTAAGGCAAATAGGAGCAACCTTCTGGTAAGACAAAATAAAATAAAATGAAACCAAAAGTAGAAAAATGCTTGTCATTACCGGGTACTTTTCTTTTTGTATTGCTACTTTTCTGAAGAGAATTTGGGTTTTGTTTTTTCGAGTCGCTCTTGTAGGGAAAAAGCATCTCCCCTGTTATGGTTATCAGATGTCTGCACTGCCTGGTTTCAGTTAAACCTCATGCATTGCAAATATTAACTTACAGGAATGGACCCCAACAGCAATCCCTCTGCATAAAGCCATGAAAACAAATCTGGCACTTTTCTCTGTGGAGGGCTGATGCTTGCTGCCCCCGGGGCAGGACGAGCTGTGCAAACAAACACTGAGGGATCGGGTAGCAGCCCAGTGCTTCCTACCTGACCAGCCCCACTAAACTCAATCCATATTACTTCCAGGCCTCTGAAGCCCCCCTCTGCTCCTTCCTCTCTATCTACAGGGTAGATGTGTATTTGTACCTACAACTCAACTGTACCTGGTCAGCTCAACTGGAGCTCTGCAGTAGACACAAAGCAGATGGGCTCAAAAACCTGGAGCCAATGATTAAGACACACGAAGGGAGACCTCAGGACTGCTGCGTGAGTCAAACTCCATATTCTTCTTATTTTGGAGGAACACAGCATTCCCTTAAGCCTCAAAGGGCAGCACTGGGTCATTCCCCAGTTGCCTTGTGCAGGGCACACACATTCATTCCTCACGCCTCAGTTTTCCCATCTTTGCTGTTAAGCCCATCACCAAGAGAAACGATACATCCCCATCCAAACAAGCCCCAAATTCCCAAATCTCATTCAGAATAGATCACAAAACACAATCCTCCTCCCACTCACAGACTGAAACCCAGGCAAAGCACCTAACACATCACAACACAAGCACGTCAAGGATTTGGCCAAGGCAAAGCAGAAAAACAATGAGGCACAGCTGAAGGAAAGCAGTGGATGTCATTTAGGTGACGATGCACAGTGGTTCAAACTTTTAGCCAAAACAGCAGAACTCACGCCCACATCCTGCTAAAAACACATAGGTGTATTTATTGACCACTAACTTGCTTAAGTTTTCCTGGGTTTGTTCACATTGTCATAAGTCTGAGAGATCAGACGGGCTTTCCTTATTAAAAAAACAAAACATGAAGCGTTGGTTCTGATCAATATTTGTCTACAGTACATTTGCAGATCTTCTCTGCTCAATGTGATTCGCAAAGGCACCGTATGAGAGTTAGCATGCCATCAAAATAATGTTCTCCATCTCAACGGGAGCAAATTTTCATCTGTGCGATCCATTTTGGCTCCTGCTGCTCTATGTTAAAAGATTTACTAGAATTATTAGGGGGTTTTGTCAGTCTTTAAAAACAAAGGACAGCCCCGATCACCGACTTTCCTAGTTAGAATGAGAGGGGACCAACACGCACGGACCTGAAACCCTTTTGGAGCAGCCAGGGCCACAGCTCAGGACTCCCTTCTGACCATCTCCAAAACCTCTGGGAATGGGTTAATCGTAAGCAAGGCAGCACAGTTTCCAACAGATGTGAAATGGCAAATAAAGGTATCAGACCTGTCCATCCAGCTCAGATTTGGTAAATAAAATCAGACACCTCACGTGAATCCAGTTGATCTTCATTCCGCTATTTAACTGTTCCGAGGCACAGCCAGCTTGGCCCTGAAAAGCACCTCTGATGCCAGCAATACGATATTAATAGGCCACTTAAAGAATCCTTATTTTTCCCAGTGAAAAATTGCAGCAGAAGAACTAACGGCACTCGGTGCGATCCGATTTCACGTGCACTTGAAGCAGCAGCCTAACAGTTGAACTCGGGGAGTAGACGTGCCACGGTTACGTGGCTTATTGTTATTTCTCCAGTTCCTCTTGTTAATAGCTTTCACATGACAGGTCTGTAAAACACATGTTCCCACAGACAATAAAATACATCTGAAAGCTAAAACTGGCTTAAAATAAAATAAAAAAATTAAAAAAAAAAAGACAATAGTGTTCCTATACATTATGTGAACCCAGGAATAATAAAGATTTGTTTTCCCTTCATTCATTGAACAGCATGGGGTAGTATTTCCGCATTTCAATTATATGTAGGTTTGCCACAGCTATAATAAGAGTATAACTGACCTATATAGTATACATTTGCTTTAAGTGCACATAGGCATAGTTTAGAAAATCCAATGGTTTTGTTTTCTCTCCTACAAACTTGTGGTTTGGAGGGATATTGCCAATCGAGTCTTGACATTTTTCCAGCAGAACGGTAACCTCAGATTCCCCCCCCTTTTTTTTTTTCTCTTCTTTTCCCCTCCCCTTTTTCAACATGAGAAACATAAACACACTCCAGAACAGAACGGATATTACTTAGAAGGCACAACGTGCCCTTGATTTTGAGGGCGGGGTGAGAGGCTGTTCTTGCAGCAGTAATTACCCAAACAACAGAAGACCCCAGCCCATGCTGGACAGTAAATTACGCTCAAGATGGTTCTTCTTCCAAGAGATTATTGTTGGAGCATGGCTTGCCTACTGGACTAGGTCACCATCCACATTTTTTTTTTTTTCTGGCAAGGGGTTTTCAGTACAGAGAAGACTGAAGGAGTGCCAGAAGGCAAGTAGAGAATGCGTTTTGCAGAAAACATGAAGGGAGTGAAGTCTGGAAGAACACAAAATTAACTTTGGAGCAAGATATCTGAAAGATCCCTCAGCAAAACATCACAGAGATGTTATTTACACTGGGAGACAAAGGTAGCTAGAAGTGGGGTATGGCCCACGCATCCTTAGAAGAGTAAGAAGTGACGTAGGGTTATACCATGGAGATTAGGTTTGTCCTCATGATTTCTGATGCCCCAGCATAACCCAGTTTAATGTTTTAATAGAGAAATAAAGCTTATGCCATCCTGGCTGTGGTGACCTGCATCTACAATTCAGCATCTGCTGTAATGGTGCTGGTTTTCCAACCTTTATCATTTTCCACTCCCAGTCATGGAGCAGAACTCCTGAGAATAAACAAGGTATGTCTCACAAGGTGGCAACGAATAGTGATTTGCACTGAACAGATCAGCAGTCCTACAAGGCAGGAAAAGGTGCTACGCTCATTTTTGGATGGTCCACCTTCTCCAAAAAAATGGTCCTATTTGGCCACTCTGTGGCTACAAGGCAACAGTGCTCTCTGTTCTGCTGCAAAATCTTTAATAATACTGCAGAAGGGCCTCAAGTCCTCCTTAGAACTGGTATCACCATGCTGAGAAGTTACACAGCAGCCAATGGACCATTCCCTAATTCGTTGAGGCCACTGGCATATTCATACAGAAGTGGGTAACCAGAGGTGCACTATTATTATCCCCATTTTAAACACAAAGAAAACCAAAGTATAGAATAACAAAGGGATTTGCTTATTTCAATGCAAAAAAGGTAAACGGAGCTGAGATCACCTTTCTGAGTTGTAACAGCCCTCAACAAAGTAAAGGAAGGTTTTTTCCTCCTTTATATAAAGGGGAATTTCTGCTTTAATAACAGAACAAGGAAATCCCAGCTACATGCTTTTATCTAACTACACTGCAGGAGATCAAACGAGGCTCCAAACCATGAGCATAACAGAAATCTCTCCGGGGCTGCTCCTGCTCCATCCAAACCCACAGGAGTTTTGCCACGGGTCTGCATGGAGGGCAGCCCAGAGCAGGTGTGGACACTAACGAATTGTATGAGGCACCACAGGATACCATGGGGCTGGACACTGAAAAATGATGTTGCTTTTGTTGGGAGGAAGTCCAAGTGACTTTGTGACCTCAAACCGCTGGTGTCCTACACTAATATTGGAGGGTTTACATTTATTTATCTTCCCATTTAATAAAGGCGATTGAGTTTGGAAAACCTAACACCAAGGGGAAAATATTCCTTTCCTCGATCAGCACCTTTATCAACAGGCAGTTAATAGGCAATAATCCTGGGAAGGCTGGCAGAAAGCTAAAATCCCACCCCCAAGCCCAAACAAAATGTCCTGCAAAACCCCAAAGTACTCTCTGACCAGCTCGAAAAGTGCAGAAAAATCAAAGGCAGAAGAAAGGGCTCAGTGTTGGGTACAGCACTTTAAATCTTGAAGCCTTTGAAAAGTTAACGCTAGCGCAGATTTAACAGGAGAAAAAGAAAATAGAGGAATAAGCTTTCCTTGGCCATCCATTTGAAAAAGTCATGGAGGGAACAGGAGGGGAGGTGCTGTTTCTGCAGCGACCCACCCATGCAGCTCTCATCTTCCCAGCCCAAGCTTTACCTTTGCACTAAATTAAACACCCTCTCAGTACATTTTGATGGAGACTTGTTGTTTTTTTTTTTTTTCCTCTCCCCTCTTAATATCTCAGAAAATAAGAGTCTTCATTCTTTAAACACGGCAGGTCAGCAGAATGTTGCTGGCCAGCTCCACAAAGCAATGTAATTTCTAGCAAGCACTCTGTGATGAGTTTGGCTGCCAATGTCCAGGCCCTGGGCATGTTTTTAAGGTTTTGGCAGATTAAAGGTCTAGCTTAATAAGTAAAAAAGATCATTAAAGAATTTGGCAGGGCTGAGTGGGGCATCTAATTCCTCATTCAAGATGTACCATGTAAATATTTGCATTCCAGCAAGCAGCGGGCTTTCCTTTTGAAGCAGTGGTTGATCTTGGGTACATATAAACCTTATTTGGTTGACTGTATCTGTACAAGTGTCACAATGCATAAAAATTAGATTAGGCTTTTGTTGGTGTTTTAAAGTTGGGTTCCCCACCTGCTAGAGGAGAATTGCATCACTACAGATCAGAAACAAAAAAAGAAAACGCACCTCAGCTTTGGCAGCTACTGCAAGAGTGAACCACTCTTCAAGCCAGTTGACATGTACACGTTGATGACATTTGATAACACAAAGAATAGAAATATTTCCACATTTCTATCACTTGAGGAACATCCTGATA